CATTTACTACACTTTCCAATTTGGGTGCCTGTTTGTAAGGCAGTCAAATACAAAGCCTAGGTAAGGAAAGGAAACTTTCAACAGTGATCCCAAAAATTACATAGCTGGGAAGCATACTGCAATCCTCAGGGCACTGGAATAAGAGCTGGACTCAAGCTCTGCCATTAAAGCAGTGAGAAGCCTTAGACCGTCACACAATCGTACCTCTCTCACCTCGTTAGTAATGAGATAGCTAGAATGATCCAATCCTGTACATTATTTTTTCCCGCCCCAAAAGCCGAAATGGGCAGGGCCCATTTTCCCTCCATACAGGGTAAGTGGCAGGAAATAAAGAGGAGTGGAAAGGGGAGACAGAGGTTGCATGTGGAACAAAGGAAAGGAACCAAGATTTGAAGTGCAGCAATGGAACAGATAGAAACAGCATCATACTGGGGAATGACTATGGCATTAGACATGCAAAAAATATTGAGGGACAGTAAAACACTGAAATAAATAATGCAAGTCTAACCACCAGGTATCCTAAAATCCATGCTGGAAGGCAGCTGAGTCTCAGAAGTGATGGATTTAAGACAGCTTGAAAAACAGACAGTTTAGAACAATCCCCAGTTTCAACCAGCAAGGTGTGCAACCAGTCGGAACAGGTTTGCTGTATGCTTTCCAGGCATTTGATTCTTCCCCAAAGATGGTCTTTCGGATGAAAAGAACTGCTAGTGGCATTTCTACAAACACACACAGTACATGCTAAATTTGTGTAAAAGGTCAAACACTTCCTGCAAGAGGAAAGCCTCTGCAAGGGTTTTAAAGGTGACAAAATACTTTTGACTTTGAACTTCAGCACAAGTCTGTGACTGCTGAGCCACTTCAAACAGAGCTCAGTGCTGAGCTCCAGACAGCAGCACTGATCACCGAACACTGGAAGTTAATTTGGGAAATGTGTCCTCCCTCAGCCCAACTCCACCCCAGCTGGTGGAGGTTTTCAAAGGGCTGTGGTTGCAGTGAGTTTCTTCTACTGTACTCACCACAAGTTTCCACCTGGCGCTCAGGTGATCTATAACCAATTTCACACAGGTATTGAATTAAACCACCCCGTAGTTTAGCTGCAGTGTTACCATTTTGCACTTATTCAAACTACAACATGTTTTCTGCCCCACTATTAGGCTGAACTTCAAGCATGGCTATATCAGATCCAAGAAGGCGATTAACCAGTAGTCTTTAGTTGAAAGCAAAGTGTATATCTCACTTCAAACAAAAGAACAGTCATGACTCTGTGCAGTGGTGGAAGCAGTAATATTACAAGAGCTCTCTACATCCGTAGTGTTTGCACCAAGGCCGTGAGAAGTACGACTATCCTTATTCTTCTGAGGCATTGTGGAGATAAGCTAATTTTGGCCAGGCCAAAATAGTGGAACCCAGGTGTACCAAGACACATGCTTGGACCAGAACGCAGCTGCAGAGGAAGGAGGTGGCAACTCCTACTGAGGGTGAACACCACATTCGGTATACATTTTCCCAAAAAAGAAAAATTTAAAATTGAAGGAAAACTCAGTTGGGCAAGACTTGGAAAGTTAAATTCTAGATGAAAGAAATCCACAAAGAGGAAAGTCTGCAGTATGGAAAGAAAAGGCAATGGCTGTGAACCAGGAGACTTTAAAGTGGCCTCCCTTTAACAAAAGGGAGAGAACCAAAAAAGAAAAAAAAGTCCTGGAAGATGCCTCCTGGGTTACTATGCCTGCCCCAGGATAGCCCAGGAGCAATAAGAAGCACATCCTGCCACCAGCACCAAAGCCTCAAAAACAGACTGCATGGCTTGGCTCCAAGAAGCCTTGAGGTCACACCAAAGCAGAGAGCCTAAAAGGAGCTCTGGACACCTGCTCAGGGCTGTACTAACCAGCTACATTTTTGGGCACCAGAGGACAGGATTTGCCCCTCAGCAATGCTCCAGAGCTTGCCATGAAGGCTGTGTAATGACAGTTCTAGGGTATTGGAAGCAACCACTTAATATAATCCCTTCCAGTAACCAACCACACTGCCATGAGAACACTAGGTTGGTCTCTGACCCATACTCCTCTTAGTGGGAAGGTATTCCAGACCTTCACTCTTCTGATAGAAACTTTCCAACTTCCAGCCTAACTTTATGAAGCAACACATTGTTGTGGTACCAGTATTGCCTTTAGTTGAATAACTCTGCTAGTGTTTGCTTCCCTAATTTATTAATAGAGCTAAATGACATACCTTCTCCTAGCCTTCATTATATCCATTGTCTGAGCTCCTTTACGGTCCTTTTCTAAGATTGGATGAAGAATCCATCACCAACCTAAGCCCTCTTCTGCACTTGTTGCCTTTTCATTCATTTTTATTTAATATGGGTGATCATTCCACTCCACTCAGCAGGATCATACATGCAACTAGGCAGTAATTACTACAGTATTAACTTCATGACAGAAATGTGGATTCAATGGAAAGAAATGTTTCCCAGAAGTGTTCCACAATTCCATCCTGAAAGGGGTTAAGCAAGAATGACCTTTATTTAAAAAAAGGAATATTAATTAGTTCAAGTGGTAAAAATGGTAACATGGAAGTTTATACTACTGGCAAACTGAAACCGTAGCATATGTAAGAGATGGGATACCTGTAAATTCACCTTTCATGGTGTAAACTTCAGTAAAATTCCAGGATACCAATAGGAAGGGAATACAGGGAAGAAACCCTCAAAGTGTGATGCTTCCATGCAGATTATAAAACAATGAGCAAAGTAACCTTAGCCAACTAAGCAGCAGCATCTCTGATGCAAGCTAATATTGAGGCAAAAGTGAAAATATTCAGACACTACAATGATGTTTGGCTCAGTTTAGAATACAAATCAACTTGAACTGGTATCTAAGAAATGAGTAAGTTTAGTCCGACTGGAAAACAGATAAAAAAAAAAGTCCCCTACATTACTCACTAGTTCTAGTTTGCTATTGTAAAATGGCCAGCATGGATTGGGACAGTTTTATAGCCTGTTTAGACAATGCTTTTCATGATTATGCACCTGAAGTTAGGACACAAAAATCTAATTGGAGACATGCCAGGTTCAACCACTGCAAAACAGCTCCTTTTCTCTAAACAATGTTTAAGATTGAATGCAAAAGCGTCTTCCTCCTATGCACAGGCACTGGTTTTTCAAGAAATCTGGTACCTCTCAGCCTTAATTCTCCTTCAAAAATGTCAATCACCTTTATAGTTTGCTTGTACAAGGAGCCACATTTTCTGATCAATTTACTTAGTTAAGAGGATAATTAAAAGTATTCGTGAATGTATTATGAACGCAGAACCTGTATTTGCTTTAGTCCAATTTAGGCAGGAACAACTGATGCAGGCCACCAGTCTGTTTTACAGTCAAAAATGACAAAGTATACAGGAGAACTCTCTTTATTTTTAATTAACAACACTGCGCAATTAAATAGTACTTGAGTGACAGAAAAAATACTTGGTTTTATTTGAGATAAACCATCATTTAAATACCTTAACATACGTTGCATAATGTTATGCTTGCGTAAGGTTACATTTTCATAGAGTAAGCATTAGAAACTAAACCAATCCAAATACTGTAGACACCACAATTCTCAGAGTATTCTACAACAGCAAGTTTTATTTTTCGGTTTAGCTTCTTCATGTCATTGTGTTCATTGCTACATTTTTGCATTTCAAAGATGAGTGAAATTCTCCAGGAAACTTGGGTTTCCAACATTGCCAGGTTTAAGTCCTGTTATATCAACATGTTGGCAAAAGGAAAAACAAAAGAACAAAAACAAAACACAGCCGATTATTCCTATATGTAGGTTAAAAAGAAAAAGCAACATACCGACAAGGAACATGCAGGAAGTAGTTACAGGGATAAAGAGATTCTATTTAGTACTCAGTACCAATTAAGAGGTTAAGAGAAGCAATTTATCATGCAAATTAAGCTACTATGGGAAGCAAGGAAGTAATCTCGCCAGACTCAAAAAAATATTTCTTTTAAAGTAAAGACACTTTTTTCCAAGCTAAAAAATGTGTCCTGAAAATAAAACTGGTGTAAGTATACTTTCCTCACGTAGAAGTGACATCCTATATGTAAATGCTCTGCAGAAAAAAAAGTCTTAGCAGAATCTTATATGGATATTGAAACAAACAGTCATGATCTATAATCCACTCAGCAGAAACTGCCCAAATTTCAAAGTAGCATTTAGATCATTTGTCTCTAGGTTATAAAAAGATAAAAACACAAGGAATGATTTCACCAAATGATTCATAGGGAGTCTATGATGAATCTGTATGAATGCGCACAGGAGACCAGAATCTTACAGGCTTTCTTAAAAATGAAAGAAAGTTACTCCTTCATGATATAATCTAGATTACCTCATTATAGTATTAGGAACAGACCTTTTCTTCCCAAGTTTGGACAAAAGAAAGAGCGCAGAAGGGAATTATAAGTTTACATAAACTGCTATATCCAAGAGTTTCCATATCCTACTCCCAGTGAAATCAAAGGGGAATAGAAGCAAGGTTTAACCTCTTATTTCAACATGCCCAATTATTCTAGAACATAAACAGACACTGTTACAACCCCTTAAATCCTAGAAGAACACACTAGACTACTACAGTAGTTTTAGCCCCAAGGAAGGTAGAGGTAAGAGATTCTGTAACATTTTCCCAATCTTCAAATAAAATGCACTTCTAACCACATCAGCCTACTTTGAAGTCTTTAACCTGACTAGCAAGAAAGCCATCCTGTGATGATGAAAAGTAACATAGTGCTATTTTAGTATAGTTTAAAACATGAGACATCTTCACAAAGTGTGCACAATCAAAATGTATTCACAAATGTGTGCTCAAAAAAGAATATGTTGCCATCATTATAAAGGTATGAGAGTATCGGAGGAGTCCGTTTTAAAAATTCCCTTTGGTTGACTTCTTCTTCTTCTGCTCATCTCTCTGCTTCTGCTTCCTCCTCTTGCTGCCTTCTTTGTATCCTGAGGAGACATGGCTTGTAAAACACTATTCATAATATTAAACTGACTTTTCCTTTATAAAAATGAATGTGGTCTCCAAATGGGGGTGGGGTGGGGGGAAATGAGACATCTTTGAAGTTTTGGATGTCTTGAACCTTTCCAAGCACCTCAAAGCCATTCAAGGAGAGCATCAAAACAGCTTATAAAAATGGAAGTAATAAATAAATCCATAACATATACAGCAAGTAAGTGCCATTTAAATACTGCTTACAGTAGTTGAAGTTACCACAGTATTTACAGTTTGTATTCCCATTCTAAGGATAAGGCATATTATGATTCCTGAGTAAATAAAGCAGCTAAATATTGACATTTAATGGTGTCCATTTTGTTCCTAAATAACATAATAGAACATAAATAGAACATAAGCTTGTTCATGCTCAACTAGCAAAGGTGATTTAACTTTTTATTGTAGGCTTGTGCTACACACATTTTTACAAAGCTAAGCTACTTTAAACTCTAGCAATTATTTATCTTCACTGGAAATAAAATAGGCAAATAAGCTACTGCCTCCACACCTCATATCCATTCCCCCTGGTTTTTCTAAAGAGCATGCAATTCCCTTAGCAGACTGTCCCATGCATTGACCACCATTTGTGAGGCACAAATGAAAGCCAGATAACATATCCATCCCATCTCTTACAAACTTTGAGGAAAATGGAACATGCCAGTAGGCTTTGTATTGTAAAAATCAGCCATGCAAAACCAAAAAAGAAAAAACTCTGCTCAGAATTTAAATCTGAAATTAAGCCAGAAAAAAATTAGATCTCAATAATCTATACTGTATCCTCAAAGACAAGTCATACAAGGCTTTAAAAAACAGGACATGCTCTTAAGCTCAGCAATACTTGGTCAGAAGACATGGCAGAACCAAAGATAATAGTTTTCTACAGCATCTCTCAAGTTCTCAGTTGAGGACAGCGCTGACCTCAGAGGCTCGAAACTGATTCTGTTCCCAATTCTATCAATAACTGCCTATATGAACTTGGGCAGGTTAACTTAGTGCCTGTTCCTCCTTCCATGCAATGTCCATAGTGGTACTTCCCTATCTTTACATGCTTTGAAATCTATGTAGTAAGGAATTATTTATATATATTCACCATGGTGTCATAACTCTGTCCTCCAACAAGCTGAATTCCTATCTAAAACATGAATTAAAGACAGTGTTTTGCAAAAATCTTGTTGGTTTAATAAAAGATATCACCTCTACCATGAACCCAGATTGCTTTTTCCTCTAGGCCAATATGACTACAAATTGGATACCCATCTAAAACATTGGGAGTTTCACCTGCATTGGAATTACAGTATTTAACTTTCTCTGTGAGGTCAGAAGAACCATAAGATTCGAGAAACAAATTCACATCTGCATAAGCAAACCACCTTTGTACTTGTCCGAATGCTTCCGTTTGTGACAGCAGTGAATTTGTTCCTGGACTCCTGCCAGCTATTCCGCTGGATTAGCAGCATTAATTCATACTATATAATGAGTTACCACAGGATTTAAGATATTGGACTACTTATTAGTTCTGCCACGTGTTATTAGTATCTGAAAAGTTAGCTTGGAAACTAGCTTATAATGCTTAAGGAAAAATATACGGTATTATTCTGACACTAATTTGTAGAACTGCTGACAGAGCTTTTCCTCCTGAACACTTCATACCACCCTGGGATTCAGAGATGCACTTCCTACCAGGATTGAAGTATTTCCCCATTATAAAGGTTTTGCTTCACGTATTTGAGAAGTTCACCCTGAAGGGGAACCCTCTGGGCCACTTACACTTAAACAACACAGGGAAATACCCCTTGGTCTGTCTTGTACCCAGCAGAGGCTGGAGGAAACTAGCAAAGGTGATTTAACTTTTTATTGTAGTCTTGTGCTGCACACATTTTTACAGAGCTCAGCTACTTTAAACTCTAACAATTATTCATCTTCACTGGAAAGAAAATAGGCAAATAAGCTACTGTCTCTGTATCTATAGCATATGGGTCCCTTGAAAAAGCAGAGAGAAAACATTCCCCAGAAGAAGGCTGGGTGGAACATCACCTAGAAATAAGATACTAAAGCTAGAAATTCTCTAATTTTGAAGGATTTGCCCCTTTAGCAAGAAATTTGACCATACACAGTCAAAATGGGTCAATTTAACAATGATATAAGACATTAAAATAAGGATGTTCCTAAAGGAACTTGTAGAGGTCACCAATTTGCACCTCTGTAATTTCCTAAATTTGTCTTCTTAAAACACTAAGTTTTGAAGGGCTTTTGATGGCATAGTGCTTTTTAAAATCAAATATCACAAAAGAACTCTATACCATTTAAAAGGGCCTTAAAAAGTCTAAAATAAACTAACATGAATATGAACCCACCATATTTCGTTGCAAAATAATACAAAATATTTTAATAAGGAGGGACTAAGGTAGAGACATCCGACAGCAAGATCCCTTCCTAGCCTCTGGAATGATCAAGGGACAAAATGGAAACCCAGCAATAGGCAGACTGGCCAAAACATGAGTGAATATACAATTATGAACATTCCTGTATAATCCACTGACATTGGTTTCATTATAGTTTCATAGTTTCTAGGGTCAGAAGGGACCTGAGCAAATCATCTAGTCCGACCCCCTGCCATGGCAGGAAGAGCACTGGGGTCAAATGACCCCAGTAAGGTGGTCATCCAACCTCCTCTTAAAAACCCCCAGGGTGGGAGCCTGCACCACCTCACTTGGAAGCTGGTTCTAGACCCTAGCCGCCCTGACCGTGAAGTAGCGCCTCCTGATGTCC